GTTTCTAAACGTTATGTGCCTACATCTATATCTTCTTATTCAACTGTTTCTTAATTTTGGGAATGCTATAATGATTCCACCGAGAAATGACCGTAATGAAAGTTAAGCTCGAGATGCGAATCTCGAACGACCCAGGAAGTTAGACTCGACAGAAATCATCCCAGGGGTTGATATCAATCTTAATTCCGTATTCTCCGCTCGCAGGACCGAGCTGCATAATTCTCGAGCATTAATTACACATAAATTGCACTCAAGATTGCGCTATGCATGGAACCGTGCAAGGAGGTTTGTGAAACTTGGGCGCCAAAGAACAACGTTCTAACAGGAGTTCGCCGTGACAAATTTAATTCACTCCTTTTCGCGTAACGCGAGCAGAAAGTGGTCAAAGGGAATTTTAATGCGAACCGAATTATAATCTCGCTGACTGCAACCTCGTTAATCGTCCACATTCGGACGCCGATGTTTCAGAATTAAAATCGCGTATCGCCGCGGAAATTAATCAGGCTCTTGAAGAAAAAAGCGACGAAATGTAAAAACAAGTACATACTTTTAAGTTAAACATCGATGTGGTAGTACGTCTGACCATCATGCCCATTAAAATCACTCATGAAAAATCGAAGCCTCCAAATTCTATCGATCCTAAATAATGAAAAATTGTCTCTGTAGTAAAAACGCATTGCAATGATGGAAATATCGCGTTATCGATGGATTGCTGACAGAGACTCCATTTTATTTTAAATGGACTTGCACCACTTTGATAATGAACAACTCATTCGATAATTGCGAGGAGGAAGCTTCGCTTTGTGCCTTTGAACGGACCACCCAGGCAGTGAACGCGTTTGCTCGCGACAAGAACACGAAGGCGTACTGAAAATCAGCAGAGGGGCGCCCGATAGATTACGAAGAGCTGACAGCGGCGAGAATGAAAAGAGAAATAGAGCCGCGCAATTTCCATTATGCCGACCATAAATACGGAGTTCACGGCCAAACGACGCCGGTATCGAAACGAGATTTACCGTTTTCATTTATCGACTACGATGCATCGGGGCCGAAAATAATTTACAGTACGTTGCCGATCGCCTCGTTCAGAACTTCGGGATCGTGCTGCTACCGTGTCGAAACCACTAAACGTTCTGGGAAGCTTCCATGTTCGAAGGTACGGAGAACAAGTGAGAATTTCGTCGGTTCGTTCATGGCATGTGAGAGAAGAGAATGCTTTCGAGGATTAGGGTACTTTTCAGTTTCTGGGAACGATGGCTTTGGAACGTTTCATTTTTAATGTAAGTAAAGAAAAAGTCGCGACAGATATGGTTCGAACAGAAAAAAACTTAATTAAACTGAGCGTAATACGAAAGCTACATATGAAAGCTTTATGTAGAAATTCTGCGTGTTTTTTTAAGAGAGGTGCATTCCAAAAAGTTTAGAAACCTCTGCGGTATAGCTATGTGTATACGCGCAACAAAGTAGAGAGTACAGTCTGGATCGAGTGTTCGTTTTCAAGCTTGTCACGTTTTCTGACTGGCCAGTGTTTAGCTTTAGCAAACGCGAGACTGCGGTCGTTGCGAGTGGATTAACCGTGGTGAATAAATATAACGGAATGTGAAAGTTTTGATTAAATAGAACAAGTCTCTAAGGAGTTTGGGGCGATCTAAGGGGATCTTTTGTAATCGTTTTCAGAATAGTAACCCTCATATACAGTGCCTACCAATTTCCACTCGATTCAAACAATTTTACTTCCGTGACTATCTATCCTACGATCGTTTTCGATGCTTTGGTTTTAAATAAAATAGAATCTCTCGAAACAAATTTACGTCGAACTGTAAAAAATGATTTGTATAGCACAAAAGTAACAATAGTTTTGTTTTGTTCGGTGTATCGACACAGAGACAACGCGATTCGTCTATAAAAAGAAAGATTTAGACCGATGCGGCCATTATTCCATTTTTCACAGCGTCAGTCGGATTGTTCGTCGAACAATCTCCGCGCTGTTCTGGAGCACCCTGTATGAGCCACCGCGTATTAACAAAGTACGAATGGGATTTCTGTGTATGTCACGTCATTCTGCTCACGATTACGCGCCATCTGTTTTGGTCACCAATCCAGTCGGATTTCTGGCCAGCGCGTACAATTTGGCTCAGTGAGTTCGGTTACTGTGTCCCGAAATATCCAATTAAAACTACTTCCTACTACACGCATGATCGGGATCACGAATATCACCTGTTTTCGCGAATTCGTTCCACGACGTTTGTAACGCACCGTCAGAGAGCGATTTTGTTATATACATGGACAAAAATGTCGTATAACGAGTAGGGGATTAACCAATTTCGAACCGTTATTTATTCGATGAAAGTTCGAATTTGAATTATGAAACGAAATTACATTCGAGTGAGTAAAATCGAATCTCGATAACTGTTCGACAATGTAAACATCGAGGTGAATCGCTGGACAACTATTAGTTGCGGATTATTCGAGTCAAATTTTGCCTGTCTCTGCATATTTACATACCAGGCGTGTTATAATTATGTTATTCTACGCTCCAGTTGTTGGATACATGTAAATAAATTGGAAAAATAAATCAATAACGTTTCGTCCCATTTTTCCGCTTTCCTTTTTCTACCATAAAACCATTTATGAATTACACAAAAAATTCTCCCTTTGTAATATCCACAATAGTTAATAATAAATATAAAATCGATTCTTTATTTATTTATTTACTCCGAATGCAAGGGGTAACTAGAGACAGCCGACTCGAATGCCTCACCAACGAAACTAGTTTTATTAAAAATTTATTCCCCACGGCGGATTGCTGTTTGCAGGATTTAATGAGGTTACGCTTGTGCGACAAATATTGTGTTTTCCCCGAGAGTGGAAGACAGTTCGTTCGGTATCATCGCGTTTCTTTTTCTCCGTTCTTTGTGGTCCGCGGTTACTTTCGATTCAATTGCAACGCGACGTTCCGCCAGCTTTACATCTGAATTCCTACGCTCTTCGCTAGTGTCCTGTGCAAACAGACACACGGAAAGGTGCGGGCTGCAGGTACAAAGAGGTATTTGTAGTCTTCAATAATTACTTTCCGCGTATTTGCATTCCTAGTACGTCTTATATCGGAATTTCCCAGCGCTGTTTACTTTGTTTCGCGGAAACTCGTATGGACCGAGTCATGTTTGCCACTGTAATTACGCTCGGTACGATCGCGTGGGGCATTGAGACATTAAAGTGATTACTCACTCGAGAGAAAAATACTGGGGAACGAAACGTTGCGTATAAAATATTCATCGGTTCGTCTCCATTTGAAGTTGTCAAGATAAAAAATATTTCGAAGCGATATTTCTCTCCAAGAGATAGAACGAAAACATCGTTAGTAAATGAGTAATTTTCTGAGGCAGTTTAAGACGAGACAGTCTCCTCCAACAAATTTCTAATACCATCCTACACATAATAATACACTAATCATGCCTCGTATACCCGCGCGGAAGCGACAAACTGTTAAACAGCGTTGCTTTCCCAACGAGCAGTAGAAAATTATTAAATGGAACGAAAACACGCAATTACGCGTCTCCTGTTCATAAATAGTCTACCATGGGTGTCGTAAATGTTTTCGTCCATCGGGGTGTACGGTGCTCGCACAGTGGAATGGTGTTCCGCGCGATGGCGCCTCGGCGAAAGGAAGGGTACATAAAGTAAACGGACGAAGTAAGGGTTGCGAAAATGGAGAACGTAATGCAATCTGCCTCGTTCACCACCTCTTCCCTCCATTCATTTCAAACCCCCTTGTCCCGTTAACCGCGCTCTCATTTAGATAAGCCCGATATTTTGACGTGCAAAAACTCGCGCGGCTAATCTCGGTCCTCCTTATCTTCCGAGTTCACGCAAAGATTGCGGGGACGCTCGTTTTCTAAGGTGTATCCAGCCGCGGAAATTGCGCTGCGCCGCCAAGACTTTCGCAATCTTCCGTGAAAAGGAATTCCCCGGAAATATTACGCGGCTATTGACACTGCATATTTAATGCAATCCTTCTGGGTTTGACTTCCACTCGTAAATCTACTTAGGAATAGCTTCCCACAAGAATGATAAACAGCGGAAGGGGCGAAAATATTATTTGTATTTTTGGAAATTTTATTTCATTATACAATGTAATAAACAAGATGCGGTGAATTCATTCTGATTAGAAACACCCGTTAAAAAGTTGGCTGTCGTCAGCAGTAAGAACATAAAAAAGATCACTTTATACTTAAAAGCTTGGAAGTTTGAGACGGTTGAAATTTCTCCTGCGTTCAGGGTTGAAAAAGAGAGAAGAGTAGCCTAAACATCTACTTGTATTGTTTGACCAATCCTTTTCTTCGTTAATTTGGTCTAAGTAGAGAAGCAAAGAAAATGTGGAACCACTGTCGACACTGGCTTAATTTCTGTCGAGCAGCATGATACATCTTGTAAAATTAGAGTCACGCGATTTTGTGTACGGATCAAATACTAAATAAATTATTTTTACACGTTCTCGCACCACTGTATATTTTTATTACATACCATTAGCGCCAAGAATAAATTTCTATAACATTCCCGAACCATTATAGCCTGCTGCGTCGCAGCATGTCATCGTAGATATTTTTACTCGCATCAGTTGGCGCAGTGAATGCGCACGAAAAGGAATCCGATCGAATGGTAACAATCAGTACTCATACTGTTCAGGTAACTCCTCGTATATGACGCAAGAAGAACACGGAGGGAGGTCATAATAGAAAATCTTCCATATCGAAGTTCCATCGATTATACGTGTCGTGTGTCTGTATACGTTGGTGTCTGTACTTACATATTTTTTGGTACGCCATATAAAATATTGGACTATAGGGGAGCAGTAAAATATGGAAATCCGATTTCGATCAAAATAGAAAATATTTCTCGAAACTTCAAATCAACTTTAACAGATTTAATTGAAATTTCCCCTTTCGTAAGAAAGAAGCGATATGACTGATGGCGACGCAAACGCGAAGAAAATAACTTACCACGTCTATGATTTGCTGCAACGTGATGCCGAATTTCACCTCGAGAGGCTCGCTCTCATTGGCTACCGGTCGCTCCAAGGTGTTGTACGTCTCCAGCAGGTCATTCAATAAGCGTTTTTCGTGTTGCCCGCACAGGCTTTCTGTAACAAAAAAGGGAATTGTTTAAATGCCAGTGGAAACTGTCACAGATACTTCACAAGTGCTAACGATTTATCTAACCCATTAAGAAATCCTTAATCAGGACCTAACTTATTTCATAGACAATACATGAAGAAATATGCAACGATGGATTTATGCTAGATACCACATTAGATTGGTTTAAATTTTTAATACGTCCCGAAGAGTGTAAATAAAATACCCATTTTTATAATATCATCCTCTAAGCTCGCATTTGCATCTCGTAATAAACTCACGTACTCCCACATTCTTTTCACTTGTACGCTCCTTTTTTTCCCCTTCGAATGCAACCAGATGCCGGGAGCCTCGGTAATTATTTCTGCACTCGTTTCACGCGCCACCCTTTCAATTCTTAATCACCACGCAAGCTTCAATGTCGTACAGAAATATTTATTTTGAAAAATTCTCCGACACGGCGAAGTTCAAAGTAGACACCTTTTCATTTTTCAATTCGTAACAGCATATTTTCCTAAAATATTCCGTCTTGCGCGCGCGCGCGCGAAGCTTCGTCGTGTTTTCGTGAAAAGTAGTATACGTGTCCGAACGATGAATACGTTTCGCTCCATCTTACAGCTGGGAATTCCTCGTACGTGCGTCTCAAAATTTTCGTTTGCACCGGCGTATTTTCTCTACGTATAATAAATGTTCGTTGTTTCTTTAATGCAGGGTTAAACTTATGGTCTTAGACAAAATATCCAGAGCGAAGGGTGATATATATTGCAACGAATAAACGAAGGCACTTTTGCTCGGACGTATCACACCGCCATCAAGCGTGACAGACTATCATCACTCGAATCAGTATCATCAATCTCCGGCGTATCCATTAACGCCCGTAAGTCGCAGCTGCTCGAAACTTCTCGAGAACCGCGCAGACATTCTTCGACAGTTTGCCAGTGGCAGTTGCTGTATTAATCGTATGTAGCCATAATATTAACTTTTGTTGCTGCGTGAAATCCTCTCTTCGGCCGGAAGTTTGTTCGGAAAATTCCTTGAACTCTGGCGAAACATCGTACGTCGTGTTGCGAGCGCGGATTCTATATATTACAGTGCAACGATAGCGAGTAAGCCACTGTAATCCCTTGGCAAACCTGCTAAGCTGGCGCACACACGGCTCTCGGGACAAATTGAAACTACACGAATTTTTAATCACTCGAATCTGTGCTTACCGTACGTATTCATAATTACGCGCGTTTCGTTTGCTCTTTTCGATTATCGTTCGTTACGCAATTACCAGGATACCTGGCCAATGCACGGTTAATTACTCCAATTCATTGCGTTATCGTCGCTGACGCGGGCAATACTTGCGTTTCGCAGGGTTGTTTGCACGATTATTTCATTGCGACGGTGACGAAAATGAGTCAATTTTATTTGATGAGTGGAAGTGACTTGTGACGAGTGGACGTGCAGTTATTTTAAACGTTTTCAACATTCTCTTGTTGATCAAACATCCCCTAATTCCGCGCCAAACTTGTCGCGTACACGTTTATTCCGGCAGGAAAGACATTGTATCTCTGGGCAAGCGCACCTTTAACCAGCCTCAGAATCCGGGCACGGTGCCGTGGTCGAATGCGAAATGCAACAGGATTGTGTCGAGGTAGAGAATAATGGTCGTAACCGCGGCCGAATTCGGCGCACGTGCACCCATTGAAGACAAACCGAAATATTGCGGGGTTACGACAAATGCACTTGTCGGGGGAGCCAACCCCCACCTCCACGTCCAACAACACGGAGGATTCAATACTCCTCGCACTTTTTGTTCCTGCTGGCTTCCTTTCCTCCTTCCTTCCCATTGTGCCGTCTCCTTTTTGTCTGTTTCAGCATATTCAGAGAGAGGCCATCTCTCGTGCCTCGACGTGCTCGGTTGATCGTGGTCATTGACGCTACGCTTTACGTAAGAGCTGCTCGTTTTTTTGTCCCCTGAACAGGATACACCATTCCTATCTACCCCGTTCAACGTACAGCAGAAGATACGGTCAACTGAAAAATGTCCAACGAAGTTCGAAAAACGGTCGAGAAAGTTGAAGCATCGCGAAACGGCTTTCAACAATAAAGAACACATTTTTGTGCAAACTAGTATCCCCAACTAGAGAATATTAAAAATGTATTATTTATTCAGATCTCGATTCTGAATTTTATTTTCAAGTTTACCTCGAAAGTTCTTCTACATTCGGATTGAAAATTTCAGTAAAAGTCACGTCCATGCGTCATGAAACCATTTTAGCGCCACTACGTGTATCCGAGCGAGGCGAGTCAGTTGGCGAAAAGTTTCAATTTCACTGAGCTTTTGAAAAGGGCGATGGAATTATCGTACATCGAAGAACACGTTTGGCGGCGAGCATGAAAGCACCAGGTTGCAGTAAAAGATGTTTATTACTCCTGTCGAAGAAGCAAGTTGCATAGAATAAAATCACCTCTTCGACATTCTTATATTAGTTTTCCGTGATTATCGTGTCATTTAGAAATGAAGGGAACAGATTCAAGAGTACTTCACTTTCTCATACGGTTAAGAGTTGGGAATACACGTTTGTTCTTGACATGTTTAATAAAACGTAGACGAGTGTACGAGTGAGGCGAATTGCGGGAGATTAAATTACTTCATCGCTGAAACAGTTCTGAATTAATTTTCTGCTAGAATTGTGTTCTTTAGAAATGAAAAAAAGAAATCTGGACGAGGGAAATGAATGTAATATCCAGAAAAATTTATGCAAATTGTCTTTCGAGTTTCTCTCGAATTCCTAGCTCTTGTTAATTATGTCTAAACACGTCACGCAGTAACTGATTGACTAGATATACCTTCCAAATAAATTAAGAATTTATATTTTTTAAAGTTGTTTTGAATATAATTACATAGATATATCCACTAAAACTGAATTTTCGTTTACCTCGAACACATCAATTTGAAATGGAATTTAAAAAGGGAGGAGGTTAAAACGTACGCTAATTCGTCAATTCTATTTAATTTCTGCCTTCTACCATCTCCTCCATGAATTTTATTTTTCTCGTGCACCTCCCTCACCAATGTATAGATTTCTCTCGATTTACCGCCTCGACCGCATCGGTATTCCAGAGTTCTCGGCGCCATGAATATCGGTACTCGAACTTCCCTGCAAAATTCAGCTACCTAAACTCCCCTACTATCAATCGTGCCGCGAATTTCCTCGCTTTGATAGCCGCGCGTTGGTCAATGCTTTATTTATTCCATTGCAAGCTATGACAGAGTTTTATTCGATTACAATGCGATCGAAGGTAATAAAATGGCATTAGGGTACACTCAGCTCAGCGTAACTATAGCATCACACGTATTTTCAAATGTGTCGAACTCTTCGTTCGATATACAATGAGAAGCGACTTCAAATATATTAACATACAACTCATTATTTATCATATCCATTGCTTCAATTGGCGTCTACTAAAAGCGGGGAGGGGGACGATTCAGATTCGAATAGTTCTCATTGTTTACCAGCGACAGGTATCGAGACCGAAGCACGTGTTCCGTGCGCGGCATTACAAAGGTGATTAATCAGAGCAATGCAATATGTCGGTACTGTATAAACTGCAGTTCAACACTGAATCAATAGCACGTAATACATTTGCCTAATCTGATTAACGATGACATTGATTTCGTTTGCGCGACAAGGATCCACTTTAACGTACTTGAATCGATACGATTATCCGTGCAGATGTAAGTAGCCGTAAATAATCGAGAAGACACCGGGGATCGTTCACTCGAGTTTACTTCTGGATGACGCTGAAACACTATTGGAACGTACAGTTGCAGCCATAAGTATTTGGACACTTGGTACCTTGGTTATATTTGTTATTTATCACATTTTTATGGAAACGCAGGAGCTAATGAACAATGAATACCAGTCAAAATCGTGTCATTTATTTATTCAATTGTGCAAGCTGCAGTTTAATGTAAGTGTACGCGATGACGAAAATTGCGTTCCCAAAGTTTTGGGATCGCCAGGGTGTGCTCGAGCACGCAATGAATGACGAATGGCGACCTCGCGAGTTAAACGAGGGTCGTGCGCGAGGATGTGAAGATCCTGAGCTAGGGTATAATCTTAACTGATGAAATTCGGTGGAATGCATGCGCTGGATGGAGAGAATCATATTTGCCGGCTTGGACCACAGAGGTATCAAATTAACATGCTACTTGCGTATGCTCCGAGGAGTTCGCTACATCTCTTTCACCGCTACTGTCTGAACACACAGTACCCTTATGTGCTCTTGCGGCAACTTTCTAGCGAAGGAGAACGCGAGACGGGTTGGAGAATGAAAATAAGCTCGGCATTATTAATATATTCATTAATAAAGAAAGTTAAGAAAGTAATTCGTGGAATGTTTCCAGACTTGAACTTTTATTTGAGTCGCCATACATAATTGAGTCACATGTGACAATGCCACGAAATTGACTCGAAGGGGTATCATTAATAGTACTCCTAAATTAATAATCGTATTCACGTTGAACGCGAATGCGATCGGTGGTCTTTGAATATGTCCACGATGGCGAGAGCTAGTCTTATTTTCCGTCAAGGTAAACCCGTACCTATAAATAAAGACGATAACGATCGATTGATTGTAGGTCACTTTAAACGATCCTCCTCTCGAGATTAGTTCCATTCAAAGTTCGCCCGAAACGCTGGATGAACAGGCAAGATTCAGGAAGCTTTGCAACAACCACTTCAGTTGGGAAAGGCTAGCTATAATTGAAGAACTATCGCGTAACGGAAAGCTTCAATGAGGTTTTCCTGTCGAACTCCTTGATTTACATGCACTGCACGCTTGAACAGCGACGAACGAAGCAGAAATTGAGTAAACGATGGGCTCATACCCCCACGCTCTAGTTTCGTCGACGTAATGAGAATGTTAATGTGCATGGCTGTGGAACGCAAATGAACGCCTCTCGTTAAGACTGCTGCTTTCCAAATGGTTCTCGAAGAATGAACAACAACGCGAG